ATTTTACAAACTGTAAATGTATGGTTTTGCTTGTGCTTGTGTATTTAAATGTCTGAAACCTAAAATAAGCATTATATGGTTGAAAACACTGAATATTTGTGATAATATGACAAGCGCTCAGCGCGTCCGATCTGGCTCTGCTCCAGCCAAAGCGCGAAAGCGGATTTAAATTCAGTGGTTGATGACGTGAAGCACTGAACGTTCTAATCACACCGGTGTGATCGTACGCGTTAAAGGGTTAAAATAGCATCATATGACCCCTTTAAATTCAGTCTTAGTCCTGTGCCAGATGTAATTTTTAGTTTTTATCATATTTAGTCAACCTGTCCTTTTGTCTAGTTTGAGTCAATTAAAATTGTCACATTTCAGCCACAATGCATAATGGTTAAGCTGATAATCACAAACAATTTGCTCAAAATTATAATAGTGATTACAGATCAAGATTGTTGTCATTTGAGAAATAAGATGAAAATAACTGTGCACTTTCACCGATAAGCACAAATCAAGAGAATGTCAGCTTCATTTGACCTCCTGATTTATTACATCATCATAAATATAAACACTCTCTACATTATGAAAAATGGTTGCCAGGTTGAGAAGATAAAGCAAAACAAAGGCCAGAAATAGCTCTGATGGGGGATTTAAACTCCTGACATCTGGCAACCGCAAGCATTTGAGTTTCTCTAGTTATTATTATATTGCACAGCACTTTGGTCAACCTTGGTTGTTTATAAATGTGTTTAATAAATAAACATTTTTATTAGGTATCGTTTTTCATCAAAAAAGTTAATTAAATGAAGTTTTCGTGTTAATGAATTTAACACTATTTGCATTACAGTAGCGAGTGAGAACGGAGGGGAAAATGTGTGTGACGGTCATGAAGATGATGTCAAAAATGCATCTTGTTTGGTCACAGTAAATATGAAGCGTTTCTGGACAAACGTGTTGTTTTTAGGCAGGATGAATCTGCTGTGGCGTGAACGGATCTGCGGGAAAACTCACAGATGAGCACTAATCTGACATTCACGAACACAGCGAGCGCTTCGGTCTTACCTTCACTGCCGTCCGAATCTGTGTGTTTCAGAGAAGTGAACGACATCATGAGAGAAATGACAAAACACTCATCAGTGCTGATCAGAGCGGAGCAGGGAGAATAAATGAGCAGTGTTGGACTGAAGGGACACGGTGTGGTGGGTCTCACGGGTCGGGTTTGGAGGATTTAAGGATGTTCTGACAGTCGGATCATGTGTGTTTCTCCTTACCTTCAAGCGCGGGAAGCACGAGACGGATTTGCGCTTGAGAGACAAAGTGATTGAGGAGGTCAGATTAAGTACTAACACACTGATCTGAGCTGGTCTGTGCTGGTTTCGTGCGGTTTATACCTGTGAGGGAGTGCTGGTTAACTCCATCTTCTCCTGAGATCTCTCTTTGGCTAACCGCGCCGCCTCTTTGAACTCCGCAAACTTGTCAGCAAACTGCAGAGAGAGAAACCAGCACAGACGCGTCAGGAGACGAGGACGGGGATCTGAGAGAGGCTCAAGCTCTGGTCTGGACTCACTTTGCTCAGATGGGCCTCGGAGGAGAAGCCCAGGCCGTAGACGGTGTTAGCCCGACTGTCTGCCCACTGACCGAACTTGTGTGAGGTTTTGGTGAAGCTCATGTTGGGGGTGATGGTGCTGTTGATGATGGCCTGCAGAAAACACCACGTCAGCCTGACATCAGATCAGTGCTGGAGACACTACAAGCTTCTAAAGGCACACTTAAGACATTCTGATGAGAAAACAAGGAATAAATGGAAGGAGACGCAAAGAAATTCACCAAAATCAAAGGGAGTTATGATTAAAACAAGAACACATTTCTGCCAACTGGCTCAGAAAAATACGATTAATTCAAAGTATTGACAGATTTCCAACTTTTGATCAGTTTCTCAGAAAACGAGACTTTTGTTCATTTCGCATCTTCAGTAAATGTCTCTTAATATAAGCACGTTTAGATATTTGTGCTGGGAAAATACTGAGGAAGATGCTTATTTTTGCAGTGCATGCAACATTGCATGCGACTTTCTGCTCTGATTTAATTTGTGGAAGGTGCGTCACGAGCAAGGCTTCATGAGTTGATGAAAAGCTAGTGATTAATCATGAAAATGTTAAAATACCTGCGTGTCACCTGACCATCCGTGAATATGTCATTAAATTATTGGGTGACACTTTACAGTGAGGTTTCGTTTGTTAACTACACTGAAAACTATCTTCACTCTTACATTTATAGTAAATTACAGAAATGACGAGTAACGTACTGAATAAAACTGAAAAAGTATTTTTCCAGTAAAACGTACACAAATCATTTTTTAAGGTATATATATATATTTTAAAACCGATAGTATTTATTAAAATTAATGCATTGTGAACTAACATTAGCAAACAATAAACTGTATTTTATCTGTGTCCCTGCTGCACAAAAGCAGTGTTAAGTCGCTGGGGTATATTTGTAGCAATAGCCAACAATACATTGTATGGGTCAAAATTATACATTTTTCTTTTATGCCAAAAATCATTAGGATATTAAGTAAAGATCATGTTCCATGAAGATATTTTGTAAGTTTCCTACCGTAAATATATCAAAACTTAATTTTTGATTAGTAATATGCATTGCTAAGAACTTCATTTGGACAACTTTAAAGATGATTTTCTCAATATTTAGATGTTTTTGCACCCTCAGATTCCAGATTTTCAAATATTGTCCGATCCTAACAAACCATACATCAATGGAAAGCTTATTTATTCAGCTTTCAGATGATGCATACATCTCAATTTCACAAAATTGACCCTTATGACTGGTTTTGTGCTCCAGGGTCACAAATGCTGTAAAATATATATTTGTCATAGTTAGTTCATGTTAAGTTTACTAATGCATTAAAGCGATGCTTTGATCATTCTCTCATCATTTACTCTTCCTCGCGTCTTTCCAAACCTGCACGAGTTTCTTTCCTCAGCTGAACACAAATAAAGATATAAAAGAACGTGGGCAGCTGACGGTAGCCATTGACTTCTACAGTATTTGTTCCCATACTATGTAATCAATGGCCAGCAGCAGCTGTTTGGCTCCCAGCATTCTTCAAAGTATCTTCTATATTCAGCAGAAGAAAGAAACTCAGAGTAAATGATAACACAATGATCATTCTCAGGTGAGCTGTCGCTGTGATGCTAACAAACACGACTTAATCATTGGAATCTCATGAGGACTAATATTTCATCTCAGCGGGGTTGGGCTGACCTTTGACCCGTCGAGGCTGATGATGCGGTACACGGTGCGTGTGCTGTCGTAGAAGTAGGACACGGTGACGGCGTGTTTGCTGGTGGGAACCCAGTTCTTCTTGGTGCTGGGGTCGATCTGGAAGACGTGCGCTCTGGTGCTGAAGATGGGCTGCTCTCTGCAGGAGACACAGACACACAGCTGCAGTGCATGATGGGAAAGCACAGTACCCACAATCCCCCGTCAGATCAGCTGAGAAGGCTCAGATTAGGACTCGTGCTCGATTAGGAAGGATTTTCTGGGCAGAATAACCGTTAGCGCGTGGCTTTAATCCGGGACTAGAGTTAATTTGCGCCGCAGTTCATCTGGAGGATCATCAGACACACGGAAATCCCAGCATGCAAAGCGACGGCAGCTTCCCTGTTCCTTCAGAATTGTCTCATGAGACAACAATCACAGTTAATCAGTCACAGAGGTCAGATGTCACGCTCACACACACGCACACACACTCTCTCACTCACACACACACACAAGCTGGCGTGGTGTTCACAAATCAAGCCAACTAACAATGCATTTCATTTGTTCCTCATTTGAAAGTTGAATACAACATGAAAACCTCTCGAAGCACGTTCACAGAGCTTAGACGGGGAAACCCGTCTTCTGGCTAGTTGTAGTATTCTCTGAACAGCTGTCTGTTAAGCTTGGCTAGTCTTCTAATCTCTGTGCAGGTGAACCGCAGCACAGCCCTGCTGAAGAGTTTATCTGCTGAGAGAGAGCGATGGGAAAAGACCAGCGAGACCTTCAAGAACCAGATGTCCACCATCGCTGGAGACTGTCTGCTCTCCGCCGCCTTCATCGCTTACGCTGGTTACTTTGACCAGCAGATGAGACAGAACCTCTTCACCACCTGGTCCCATCACCTCCAGCAGGCCAACATTCAGGTACAGAGAACATCACAGAATATTGCCATAATGCAGCACTGAGCGCTTTAGATCCTGAAACCTGCGCTTTCTCCCGTCCAGTTCCGCACGGACATCGCCAGGACGGAGTATCTCTCCAATGCGGACGAGAGGCTGCGCTGGCAGGCCAACTCACTGCCCGCTGACGACCTGTGCACCGAGAACGCCATCATGCTGAAGCGCTTCAACCGGTGAGAGCAGAGATGAGACGGGACGGGTGGATTACTGAAGGACTCTTGCTAGGGCTGTCAAAATGACTGAAAAGCTATATTCGAATTCTGCACTTAAATATTATCAATATTCGAATTGCATTCAAATTTAAAAGGCATGATTTCAGTTAGGGGGGAGGAGACGATTTTGGCTTCTCTCAGAGGTTGCATCGAGCAAAATATTACTAATGCATTTTTATTAAAGCAATAAATGTTTATAAACCAAAAATAAGTTGCTTAAATGATTATAAACAAAACAGCATCATGTATGCATAGTTTAATACAAAGGAACGAAAACCAAATCACAAAGAGCACTTTTTCATTTAAAAACATGAGATGCAGTGGGATGGGGAAAAACACCATGAAGTCTCAATTCCCGAGAGTTTGAGACTTGATTCCCGTCTCGAGGTCATTTGCCGATCCTGCTCTCCACTCTCTCACTCTACTGTCCTATCTAAATAAAAAAAGGCATAAAAATAACTTTACAAAAACATTTCAAAAGCAACGACTCTTACATTGCATTTTGTGCACCCCTGATACGGCTGCCTTGACACACACCTAAAATTCAAATGCAACTTTTTTGCATTCGAATGTGGATTTTTATTTTAAATTTGACGAATATTTGAAATCTGAATTATTATTTGACAGCTCTAACTCTTGCGGATTTCTCACACGCGTGTGTCGTGTTCTGCAGGTATCCGCTCATCATTGACCCATCAGGTCAGGCCACGGAGTTCATCTTGAACGAATATAAAGACAAAAAGATCACCCGCACCAGCTTTTTGGACGATGCCTTCAGGAAGAATTTGGAGAGCGCTCTGAGATTCGGCAACCCTCTGCTGGTGCAGGTACGAGGCCTCATTATTACTGTAGAAACATCCAGCTCCGTCTTCATCTGTCAGGGTCTGGGCGTTTGCTCATTAATGCCTGTGTGTCGCTGATTCTCTTGTCAGGACGTGGAGAGCTACGACCCAATACTGAACCCGGTGCTCAACCGGGAGGTGCGCAGGACCGGCGGCCGAGTGCTCATCACGCTCGGAGATCAGGACATCGATCTGTCTCCTTCCTTCGTCATCTTCCTCTCCACACGAGACCCCACGGTAATGCTCTCGTGTGCTTCACACTGTCTGAGAGAGATCAGACCAAGCAGAAAAAATTTAGTATTACTAATATTGCAGCCTGCACTGCAAACTGTGCTGAAGATACTCGTCAAAGTCAGGCCACACAAACCTGATTCATGATTTGAAATATCACTCGTTAGAACATGCAGAAACTAAAAAAATATTTTTTTCTAATAAGATGTTTTGTTAACGAGTAGTAACTGAAAAAGTGTAAAGAATTCAAGAACGTGAAGTTGTTTGTTGAAGTAATTTAATTGAAAATTGAGTGTTTTACTATTGTCCTTTTGCATTATTACACACTATTTTCCTATATGTGTCCCTGCAGCACAAAAGCAGTGTTAAGTCGCTGGGGTATATTTGTAGCAATAGCCAACAATACATTGTATGGGTCAAAATTATACATTTTTCTTTTATGCCAAAAATCATTAGGATATTAAGTAAAGATCATGTTCCATGAAGATATTTTGTAAGTTTCCTACCGTAAATATATCAAAACTTAATTTTTGATTAGTAATATGCATTGCTAAGAACTTCATTTGGACAACTTTAAAGATGATTTTCTCAATATTTAGATGTTTTTGCACCCTCAGATTCCAGATTTTCAAATATTGTCCTATCCTAACAAACCATACATCAATGGAAAGCTTATTTATTCAGCTTTCAGATGATGCATACATCTCAATTTCACAAAATTGACCCTTATGACTGGTTTTGTGCTCCAGGGTCACAAATGCTGTAAAATATATATTTGTCATAGTTAGTTCATGTTAAGTTTACTAATGCATTAAAGCGATGCTTTGATCATTCTCTCATCATTTACTCTTCCTCGCGTCTTTCCAAACCTGCACGAGTTTCTTTCCTCAGCTGAACACAAATAAAGATATAAAAGAACGTGGGCAGCTGACGGTAGCCATTGACTTCTACAGTATTTGTTCCCATACTATGTAATCAATGGCCAGCAGCAGCTGTTTGGCTCCCAGCATTCTTCAAAGTATCTTCTATATTCAGCAGAAGAAAGAAACTCAGAGTAAATGATAACACAATGATCATTCTCAGGTGAGCTGTCGCTGTGATGCTAACAAACACGACTTAATCATTGGAATCTCATGAGGACTAATATTTCATCTCAGCGGGGTTGGGCTGACCTTTGACCCGTCGAGGCTGATGATGCGGTACACGGTGCGTGTGCTGTCGTAGAAGTAGGACACGGTGACGGCGTGTTTGCTGGTGGGAACCCAGTTCTTCTTGGTGCTGGGGTCGATCTGGAAGACGTGCGCTCTGGTGCTGAAGATGGGCTGCTCTCTGCAGGAGACACAGACACACAGCTGCAGTGCATGATGGGATATAATCCCCCGTCAAATCAGTTGACCAATCCGCGCTCAGATTAGGACTCGTGCTGGATTATACAGGATATTCCGGGCAGAGTAACTATTAATGCGTCGCTTTAGTCCAGGACTAGAGTTAATCTGCATCTAAGAGCCGCGGGTTAGTTATCAGTTCATCTGCCAGATCATCGGACGCATGCAAAGCAAAGCCAGCTTCCCTGTTCCTCTGTGTTCAGAACATCTTATCTGACTCCCTCAGACAACGATCACGGTTAATCACAGTCACAGAGGTCAGAGGTCAGAGGTCACGCTCACACAGACAGATACGGCTCACAGCTGCTGATCCGAGCTCTTCACACCATCATCACTGGAGCTTCATCTGCTGCTTGTGGCTTCACTTTCGCTGGATTTGTCTGCAGACGGAACGAGCTGAATGTGTGTTAATGAACCGCACACATTCTCATTCAGCCGTTAATTAATCACATTCTCGCAGAGAACGGAAGCGGATCTGTGGGGATCAGCTGAGAGACGATCATCTGAATCACGTGAGAGGACAGTTATGTGCTTACTTTAAACAGTCAGTTCATCCAAAATCATCATGCACTCGCCTCAAGCCTGTATGAGCTTCTTTCTTCTGTTGATGAATGTGTGCTAATAAACCGTTTCTGTGTGAGTGTGTGTGTGTGTGTGAGTGAGTGTGTGTGTGTGTGTGT